TACACCATCAACTACAACTGCATCTATGTTTAATACACCATCAACTACAGCTGCATCTATGTTTAATACACCAGCAACGACGACTGCATCTATATTTAATACACCAGCAACTACAACGATGTTTAGAACAACAACTAGCGAGCCAGTATTTGGTCAATCAATCGCTGCTCCTATTTTTGGTAACACAACAAAAACTCCTTTTGTACCAATTCAATCAACAAAATCAACCATTGAATTTGGTACAGGCAACAATAATTTCAAAGAAGATAAACCTCCTGCTTTTGGATCTAATACAACAGTCTTTGGAAGTTCTAGTACACCATTATTTGGATCACAGACTACAGCACCACCAACATTTGGTTCTCCTAGTGTTTCAACCAGTACTCTCAATTTTGATAGTACAAATACAACCACTGCTGTATTTGGAGCACCAAATTTAAGTGCACCAGGAAATACACAGTCATCAACAGTGCATAATTTTGTTATCCTTACAACACCAAATCCAATATTTGGAAATCAAAATAATTCAGTACCTTCCTTTGGATCGACAACTACTACTCCAGTTGGAACTTTTAATACTCCGATGCAAAGTACCTTTGAAACTCAACAATCAACTCCTCTGCCGTTTGGTGCTGCTAGTAATTCTAATGCATTTGGTGACAATAAAGCATCACCATTTGGAATTCAAACAACAGTGACACCCGCTTTTCCAACAAACGAAAACAATACAAGTAGTATCTTTACATTTGGTGGAAATCAAGGAGGACAACAGCAGCAATCTAATACGTTTTCATTTGGTAATAATAATGCATCTAATAACAATGTATCAACAACTGGGCCCGTCCCATTCCAATTTGGTGCGAACACTTCTAAACCAGGTAAATATAAATATTATTTCTTAATTTCATTTACTCTATATCATCATTATTAATAAAAAAAATAAAAACTATGTATGTATAGTTACAGGATTTAATTTTACTGCACCATCGACAACACCATCGCTTAACTTTGGAACTTCTGGTTCCACACCCACGTTTAATGCTCCAACTCCTGGAATGTTTAGTATTGGTAGTGGTTCTACTGCACCACGATCAAGAGCCACCAGAGGCAGAAAACCAAGATGATGCAGAATGTAAAAATCATATTAACATCTTTAAGTAAATTTTTATCAAGAGATACATCGACGACATTTAATTCATTTAAACATTAAAATGACTGTTTGAGTGGATGCATATACATATTACTGTTATTATTACCATTATTATTATTATTATTATTATTATTTTATTATTATTATTCATTATTTCTTTAAAATAAAAAGAACAGAGTCCAATACTTCTGTGGAAATAATAAGTATATTACGTAATAAGTATATTGTCATTATCATTTCAAAATGTTATTAACCATTTTCAAATGTATTTGTCATTTGTACATATACGAGTATATATAGAATAATATAACAAAATGTTAGAGAAAAAAACCAGAAGAGAAAGATATAAATAGACATTGAAGAAAAAATTTGCATAAATTACAAGGCAAATAATCTTTTT